ATACAGGTGTGTGTGTGTGTGTGTGTGTGTGTGTGTGTGTGTGTGTGTGTGTGTGTGTGTGTGTGTGTGTGTGTGTGTGTGTGTGTGTGCTCTCACCAGGCCCTGCGGCTTCTGCTGCTCATCGCTGCTGCTGAGGACAAACACACATCACTGTAACGGTGTGTAATGACATTAACACATTTGTATTTTCTACACCTCAGAGACTTAACAATAGTGAATAAGTTGCAGTCCTTCCGTCTGCAGTGTCATAACAGCAATAACTAATCACTGATGAAATACACTGATGTATAACATCAAGGACATGTTGGCAGTTGGCTGTTAGCTCCCATCCCAAAATGAAATGTGTGTAAACATGAGAACAAGTGTTCTCTTATCACCTCTGAGTCCTCCTCCAGCAGAGTATCTAGCTAACTCTGTGTCTGCACATTTCTCCTACTAGCATTAGAATTACAGAATGCCTCATTAGCATATTTAACACAACATGATGTCAGTAAACTTGTAATGTCAAAAGTAATAGTATCAGAAACGGGGTTCATGGTGATATCTGTTCTTTTTCTGTGAACATTTCTAATTTCTTTGATTTTGTTCAACCTTTTTTGGTCTAATTATTACGACTTTTACCTCCAAATGTATTTCCTCTCCTCTCTCCAGAAACCTCACACACACCAAAGTACACACCATTCACACACACTTTATCACTCAAACATGCAGGGAATGAGTTGATGGCAGGGTGTTCTGATGTATGGACTGATTCAGAGAGAAAGCCCTGACTGTAACATGAGGACAACATGGAACAAGAACCTGGCTTTATCACATATAATAATACAAATATAAATACATGCAAATGAGGACATACCTAGGACATATTTTGAGATGTTGGAATTTTAGATTAGCTTATTTATACTCTTTTAATTGCTACTGATGTGCAATGCCTTTTCTTTTATGCTGCTGCAACACAAAACAAATCCCAATTTCAGATCAATAAAGTACCCCTTATCTTATCTTATACTGTCTCTTTGGTATAGTTTAACTTTTAACATTTAACCCTGCTGCGTCCAGTGCTCTGTAAACAGACAGGGTGGCTCCTGGTAGTTCATCTCACCTTCACCTGTAGTGTCTCCCGTTAAAAACCGTCTGTAGTTCCAACTGACCGCCGTTAGTAGTTCCAACTGTAGTTCCAACTGACCGTTTGTAGTTCCAACTGACCGCCGTTTGTAGTTCCAACTGTAGTTCCAACTGACCGTTTGTAGTTCCAACTGTAGTTCCAACTGACCGCCGTTTGCAGTTCCAACTGTAGTTCCAACTAACCGTTTGTAGTTCCAGCTGTAGTTCCAACTGACCGTTTGTAGTTCCAACTGACCGCCGTTTGTAGTTCCAACTGTAGTTCCAACTAACCGTTTGTAGTTCCAGCTGACCGCAGTTTGTAGTTCCAACTGTAGTTCCAACTGACCGTTTGTAGTTCCAACTGACCGCAGTTTGTAGTTCCAACTGACTGTTTGTAGTTCCAAATGACCGCAGTTTGTAGTTCCAACTGACCGTTTGTAGTTCCAACTGACCGCCGTTTGCAGCTCCAACTGACCGTTTGTAGTTTAAACTGACCGTTTGTAGTTCAAAGTGACTGTTTGTCGTACCAACTGACAGTAGGTCTACCTAGCTGTAGCAGAATCTAGCCTAGCCTGTAAAAAGTGATTATAAAACAAGTGTGCAGTTCTAACTGACCGTTTGTAGCTTAAACTGACCGTTTGTAGTTCCAACTGACCGCCGTTTGTAGTTCAACTGACCGTTTGTAGTTCCAACTGACCGCCGTTTGTAGTTCCAACTGACCGTCTGTAGTTCCAAGTGACCGTTTGTAGTTCCAACTGACCGTTTGTAGTTCCAAGTGACCGTTTGTAGTTTCCAACTGTAGCAGAATCTAGCCTAGCCTGTAAAAGGGGATTATAAAACAAGTGTGCAGTTCCAACTGACCGTTTGTAGCTTAAACTGACCGTTTGTAGTTCCAACTGACCGCCGTTTGTAGTTCCAACGGACCGTTTGCAGCTCCAACTGACCGTTTGTAGTTCCAACTGACCCTTTGTAGTTCCAAGTGACCGTTTGTAGTTTCTAACTAACAGCTCTATCTAGCTGTAGCAGAATCTAGCCTAGCCTGTAAAAAGTGATTATAAAACAAGTGTGCAGTTCCAACTGACCGTTTGTAGTTCAAAGTAACTGTTTGTAGTTCCAACTGACAGTAGCTCTATCTAGCTGTAGCAGAATCTACCCTAGCCGTAAAACAGACATGATAAAATAAGTTTGAAGATCCAACTGACAATTTTTAGATCCAACTGACCGTGTGTAGTTCAAACTGACCGTTTGTATTTCAAACTGACCTATAGTAGCTCCAACTGACCGTTTTTAGATCTAACTGACGGTTTGTAGTTCAAAGTGAAAGTTGCGCTATGTAGCTGTAGCATAAGCTAGCCTCCGCCAGCCGGTAAAAAGTGACAGAAGTAGTTCTAGAAGTGAGATGGGAGGGTCAAACCGTGACTGTGTCCGGGGGAAGGTGTTCTCTGAGCCCAGGTGTGTGTCCGGCTGTCTGTCCGCAGGTCTGCCGCAGGTTTAACAGGGAGAAACGGGGAGCAACGGGGAGAAACGTGAGATTTGATCAGTTACCGGCGACCGTTGGCTCAGCTCGTGCGCTCTGTTGTCAGGGGACGCCGCGAGTCTCCTCTGATTGGGCAGGCCCTGCGATGACGTCACTTAATATCTTTACTTGGCCAACTGACAGCCTACTCACTTTATTTTGATTATAATAATGTATATAACACAAGGGATTTATCTTTTGATTTACAAACATTAATTTAGAAATGTAAGAAACATAATCAATAAAATAAGTCAGATTGTATTTTATCAGAGAAGTCACTTATTTATTCAGAAATATGGATTTTGAGAAACTCACTAAATAACAACAGGAGCCACTAAAAACAGAACTGAATAAAACTGTTTATTAAGACAATTAAATATATATACTACTATATTATCAGACCTTATACTATGTGGCGTATGCTGAAAATATATCACAATGTACCATGTATACACGCTTTGTTTTCCTCTCAATGTATTTACAATTGGCAAACAGAACCAGCCTCTTCTTTCATTTTAGATATTGTTTATACCATGTTTCTCACTCTGCTTTATCTTTTGCTGGACTTATAACCTCTCACTGTACATTTCACATTTATATATTTCATTGAATATGCCATTCTTGCTCACTTAATGTAAATAATATCCCACTTTCATATTGCATTAGCTGTAATTTATATAATACGGTTTATTTTCTACTCTTTTTTTAAATTTAATTTAGCATTAATAAAGTATATCTTATCTCAAAGTACGTCTTTTCTGTTCTCTTTACTGTATCTGCACTATACCTCAGATTGTTATTATATCACACAACTACATTTCCCTGCATGCCTTGCGCGAAGACGCTGGGCTGTATCCTGCCAATCCCGCCCGTTGTGAGAATCTCCCGGCATGCCTTTCTGTAGGCCGAGAAGAAACAGGAGAAGCGTCATGATGGATGTATAAAGAGCTTTTTATTCATCTATTAAATCAGCTTCTTCCATGTTTCCTCAGAGAGAGTCTGTGGAGGATCGATAGAGACAGAGAGAGAGTATCTGCAGGCTGAGGTGAGCTCTGAGCGCCGCGGTTAGCTCCTGTTAGCACACAGCTACCGGTTTGAATCTGATAAACACATTAAAGACACACAAACACCACCTGAAAAACACCTGAAACTGCTGCTAAAAACACCTGAAACTGCTCCTAAAAACACGTGAAACTGCTCCTAAATACACCTGAAACTGCTCTTAAATACACCTGTAACTGCTGCTAAATACCACGAGATCTCCACTAACAACCAGAGAGGTGTGTTTACATGATGAGCTACAAGCTAACGGCTAGCCTGTTAGCATCGTTAGCCGCAGGAGCTAATGTTTTCTTTTTCATTTTACAACATTTAAGGAACTTCTTTCCGGTTAATGACATTGGATAGTGCAAATACAGTGTAGATAATAATAAAACCAACAGTTTACATGTGACAGAATTAAGAATTACAAACGAAAACAACAGTGACTAACAACAGAGTAACATGAGTCTCACAATGAGACACGTTTCCTGGCCGTTTCTTATGTAAAGTTCGTTCTTTCATCTAATAAAGTGGGGTTTAATATAATATGTATATATGATATATATGTGTATATAGCGTTTCTTTAACCAGAAGCAGCCCGGGGTTCTGTTAGCTTTGTTAGCCGCAGGAGCTAATGGTGTTAGCAGCATCCCAGGCTGTTTGAAATAATACTGTTTAAAAACAGAAGTTCTGTCACAAATCACAGAAACACCCATAGTGCGAGCGATATGTTGGATATATATTACAGTCATGCCGTCTGTTTCAGTGTTAGCTCAGTGTTAGCCACCTGTTCGGCTAGCTGCTGTGGAGCCTCGTGCTTCCGTTGGTGATGAAAACAGCCTCAGGAACTCCAGGACTTTACTTCAGGTAGCTAAACTACAGTGTAGGATACTACGATACGATCCGATGATACTTTAATGGCCAGATCAAGTCCAAGATGCTCCTTGCATCCCAGCAGCTCCATGTGTAACATCAACAGACACACATCAAGACACATGAGAAACAAACAACAAACATGTAACATCACAGCAGGATCAGAGAGAGATGCTCAAAGGGCCTTCAGTGTGCATCTGACCTGTAGCTCTGTGTTCACTGAGAGGACTGGCTGGAGCACAAAGGATGCTTCAGGCTGACTTTAGTGAATCTCCATTAGATGGTAGCAGTTCAGATTCTCTGTTAGAGCATGCTTTGGGTCCCAGAGGATGCTGTTGGACAGCCTCTCAGGTTATTATGGTCTGCTGAGTCAGAAAGTCTCTGACAGAGTTCACCATCATCCTGCCACCAACCTGTTTGATCTCCTTGCTGATGCGCACTCCATTTCCCAGAAGCACCTTGCAGTAGCTGCAGCACTGAGTCCTGGCAGCAGTAGCAGAGGGGACGCCATGTTGGATGTAGTCCATTCGGATACCTACACACACACATACGTCAATCACTTGTTCTTGTTGTGTGTTCTCATTTTCGAGTGTGCAGGTAATAATGGAAAGTGTGTACATATTGCAGAGTGTACAAACCAGTGTTCCCAGTAGCTGGTGGGGGTCTCTGCATTCTGCTTACTGCTGAACCCTGCGCACACACACACACACACACACATTAATAAACATGAGGAGAAGTTACGATGCCAATTTTAAGTTAACGGTGATTAACGAAGTCATCAAACAACTGTCGAGCAGCAAAGGAATATGGAGTTACTGAGAGTAACGTGAGAAGCTGGCGAGCCCAATAAGACCACCTTGAAAAATGCAAACAGTCAGAGAAAAGCTGTCCGCAAAACTTGAACACAATGTTTGATGTGTGTTGTCATTATTTTCAAATAAAATATATTCTTTATCAAAACAAGATTTAGTCTTCAAAACGAGGGATTGTCTTATATTCGGGTCGATACGGTACTATGTGAATGCAGTGCTATGTAACCTCAGTATTTGGTCTCACCTCAGGGAGGGGCACCCGGACCCCGGCCAGCAGGGCGAGAGCATTGCATTCTGGGCCGGGAGGGCCGGGGGTGCGGCTCAGCTGGTAGTCGGTGGGGACGGGGACACGAAGAAGCTCCGCCACCGCCGCCATGACACCTGCAACACTCTGAAGACACACAGGGTCATATCACGGGGTTAGAAAATATATATAAAAAATAATAATAAAATAAAATAAATAAAAATACAATAAAATAAATAATAATGTTGGGTACATTTCTAGAATATTTGTACATTAACATGTCTTTTAAAAAATATAAATAATATATATATATATACAGTAAAGTATACCTGCGCTGCGACGGGGTTGAGGGTGATGGCGATGGTAACCAGATCAGTGTTGGAGCAGGGAGGAGCCTGATGGTGAGGCTCCACCTTCACTTCCTGTTTCACTGCTACACACACACACACACACACACACACACACACACACACACACACACACACACACACACACACACACACACACACACACACACACACACACACGTTATCTTGTATATATTGATTGTTGTGCTTTTATTTATGTCTTAATGTGTGCATGTGTATATGTATATAAATATTTGGGATTGTGGGAAATGGTATTTTGATCTCTCTGTCTGTACACACAAACTGAAAGATTGACTTTGACACACACACATTTAACTTCACAGTGACCTAATCTAAGACTGACCTTTCCCCCAGGCGCAGGGCATTATGGGTAATGTAGGCGATTGGCAGGGCGATGGAGGCTCCAGTTTGATGAAGGAGAGGTCGGGGTATCGGCTGACCTCAGCGTCGCTCTCTGGAGACGAAGAGGGAACGTAACCTTCTGGAGAACTGCGGCCCGACGAGTCCACCCTGAAAACACACCAAGAACATGTAGTCAGAAAATATCATATATAAAAAAAACAATATTAAAAGTAAATAAAGTTTCTCACAAAAAAGTACATTTGACATCATGTATACCCAGTGATCGCTGAAAGGAGCCTGAACGCACCAAAGTGCAACAATAACAAGCGTTAGCTCCCGTTTACCTGAGTTCCTCCTGGTTGTTGTGGGGGGGCGTCGGCAGGGAGGCGGGGACATCGACTGTTTTGGAGGCGTGGTTTAAACCCAGAAGCTCCTCCCCTTTCTGCTTCACACCTTTCACTGAAAACAGACGAAGAAGAGGAGGATCAGCTGTGTTCTTCTTCTTCTGCTGCTTTAATAAAAAGCGTGACCTATTCCTTATTTACCCTCCTTCCTCTGCAGCTCTTCAGTCGAGGCGAAGCCGTTGATGTGTTTCTGTCGGGGGG